TCGATTAAGAACTTCGACTATAGAGGTGTTTAGGGTTACAAAGCAATAATAACTATAATCACGTTAGTATCTAAGGCATACATGCATGCACTATTTATAGCTAAACCCTATAATAATCACGAATGGACAGGCCCAATCCGGATATACAATACTAAGCCCATGACGCAACATAACATACCCAACAGAAATCAAATATGAGTAGAAGTTAGGAAGGGTTAAATCTTTTTGGTTACTCAACATAGTGATGGCATTGATGAGATCGCCATGTCCTGGTCCTAAACCTGATAAGATGTATCTGACGACTTTTTCATCAGTCGTAGGGTGGCATATATTAGCCATAGTATAAGTAAGACTGACCATATTTTGATAGTATTTTGATGTAGTCATATCTCCTTTCTTAGTGATTCAAAGTTGAGTACGTATTTGGATGGAGTTTCCACGATATTAATCAGAGAACATTGTATGAAGAGAAGTCCATAACTCGTTGGACGTGTTCGTGCATCTCGTAAGTTAAGAAAGAATATCCTCAGTCATTGAGCAAAGAAGAGCCCTGGTGATAGCTTGATCTTGAATAAACCAAGTGTTGTATAGAGGATTATCTATTTCTCTGACTTTTGTTGTCACACCCCCGGACCAGACGGCGGAAACGTTCGGAGGCAGGTGACTTCGTTGCATAGTATCATAACAATTGAATATAAATGAAACAGAGCAATCCAAACATCATACATTGAGATAACAACTTACATTGTTTACATATTGTATTTGTCCTTCAAATTACATAAAAGATACGTAAGCAGAAAAATTCCAAACTACAACAAGATAGTCCTACATCCGCGTCCTTGTTTACCTGCTTACTAGATCCCTGAGAATACAATTCGATTTGAAAAGCGTCAACTAAAAAGTTGGTGAGTTCATACGCATTTTTGTATAAAATAGTTTTATGCTTGTTTAGAATCGTTCTCGTTGTACTTTCAGAAAATCCGATATTTTCTATGAAATCGTTTGAAGTCTTGCTTTGAAATCATGGATATATGCGTGTATGTCATTACTTTGTATTCATCCTTAAAAGGAGTGATTTTTGAAAATTAGTATAATTTGTAAAGGGGAGTTGTGTTCGAGAATAGTTCTTTTGAGTAGTAATAACCAACAGTTTCCAGAAAATCCATTATTTTCAAAAAGAATGAAGTTGTAGATCTTGTTTTTCTTATCGGACATAATTGATTGTGCGTTCTAGTTTGTCGTTATCGAAATCGTATACAATCGTTTTCCCCAGAAAATCCTATATTTTCTGCTTTGTAAAATAGTAGTATTCAGACCCTAATACTTGTTTGGTGAAAGAAATAAACATGGCGATTGTGGACATTCCGCGCAATGAAAAAGGACGGTCAACACAACAAATGTGGACCATCACTACCATGCGTAGGGCAGTCAACACAACGTGCCAAAATTTATTTATGAGGTTTTCCTTGCATAAATTTCTAGATTCAATGACATATTCTAGTGAGTCGTTATAACCATACTAATATGACCGAGACCTGTTTTGGCGTTTCTCAGGCGCCCTTGTTTCGTTTAAAGACATTTGTCACCCTAGACTGGCCGGTCTAGCTGTAGCGAACAGCGAAGGTGCGGGGTGTGTCAAACCCATATACATTTATACACAAATTCCCGCTCTCCCTCCAGGAGACTCTGGCTATAACTCCTTACAGGACTTTAGACGTACACTAATATTTTTATATTTAGGTACTTTTGAGATTCGTCTGAGTAGAATACCAACAACCTTTTGAGCAATCGCTGAGATCCATTCTTTATTAAATAAATAATGATACTTGTACTCGTTGAATAGAAATATCGTTTTCGTTTCATAACTATAATTGTGCTTGTTGACTGGGTGCTTCATTTTCGTTTTGTTTTGTTTGTTGAAAAATAATCCATTTTGAACATTTATCAAAATGACCCAATATTATCGGAGTTGGCAAAAATGGTCCTTCCCTTTTATGAATTATCGCTCAGGCCCTAGTAGTCAAAAGAAAAAGTGTCAAGTTATAATTTGTGTAAATTTATGACTGCAGGTTATGACACGCGTTTTCTGCTTTATGACATACAAATCATCACTTATGTTTCTGAAAGTTTTACGACAACAGTTTATGACATGCAAATATTTTGAAAACCCTGTTTTTGTACATTTTTCTTGATAAATTTTTATTCGGATCTTTATAAATAATACTCTAGTTTATATAATCTTGTAAAAAGTCTTGAGTATGACATAATGTTCACAGATAACCCTTATTTAATGTTTGGCCAAAAATGATCCAAAACATTATTATTTCACTAATTTAATCACTTTCAAAATATATTGTCCAACACTTGTTTATGCTAATCTTGAAGCAAATCCTTATAGTTGATGTTATAAAAATTTGTGGCTTATACTTGGTAACATACGGATTTTTGTTTCTAAACATGATTTGAGGAATATAATCCAAACTCTTGAGACTTAACCAAAATCTCGAGTTTTTGGTCTATTTATAAGGAGTTTCGTACTTAAGCACATATAATGGGGCATAATACACAATAAGCAAATAGATCATGATTCACACAAGACTTTGACTCGTATTCTCCACCCAAAAACAATAAAACTTCGAAAAAGGTATGGGTATGAAGCTCACCTTGAGTTGGTTTTGTGGGGTTTTTGAAGTGTAATGAAGAGATCTTGATTCTAAGCACTAGAATGCCCTTGTTGAACTCCTTGAAGCCTAGATTATTCTCAGGAGGTTAAAATAGGGCTTTGTGTGTATATGAGATGATTTTAACAAAATAATATATATGAATACTAGGAGATTTCGAAATAGCTCACCTAATTTCCAAGAACCACCTTGATGATAAGGATTTTTGGAAAAATCCACTTGTTCTTGAGAGGAGTTTGTTAAATGGTTGAGGAAAGGATTTATTGAGAAGGTATGAATTCTCCAGGGAGTGAAAGGAGGTAGGGGTGACGATTAGTAGAAAGGAGTTCTTCTTTTGAATAAAGGAAGGGAAGTTAATTTGATATGTGCTTGGAGATCTGGAGGATATTACATGTTTATCCGTGAACACCTTGGAACTTGTTGAGATATCGCATCATAGAGTCAAAGGCTTTTGTCTTATTCACACCTTACGTTTTAAAATAATATGTTAAAATGATGAAATGGTCTGTAATGGTTCGAAATCCGGAGTCCAATGTTAAATTCCGGAGTCAAATAGTAAATTCTGGAGCCAAAGCATGAGTTCCGAAGTCTCTTGGTGAGTTCCGAAGGCAATTCTCAAGTTCCGAAGTCAAATCATAACTTCCGAAGCTTTACTCAAGTTACGGAGTGGGATTCCGGGGTCAATCCTCCAAATTCCGGAGTTAGATCAGAAGTTCCGAAGATAAAAGCGAAGTCAACATGTCCGGACCGATGATGCGAAGCTTTCCGGAGTGGCGCGAGGCTTTTCTGAAGTCAGTTATTCCGGATCAGAAGATGTCCAGAGCGAGACTGTCCGGGGCATGCTGAATTCCGAAGCACATAAATTCCGGAGCCAAGAGGTTCCTATGTGCGAGAATGCTCGGTTCCTTTAGGAGGTCCGAAGCTTCCTAAGGGTTTCGAACTATGTTTGCTCTTTTAAGTTTCCTCCTGTCATTTTGAGTTGATTTTGACTAAGGATAAACTACATAGGGAGATTTGAGAGAGATTTGAAAGAGATTTGGGAGAGATTTGAGATACATGGAGAGATTTGGGAGAAATTTGAGATACATAGAGAGATTTGGGAGAGATTTGAGATACATGGATAGATTTGCATTATAACAATACATTGTCCATTAGGAACCATAATGTACACTTTAATGTGTTAGCACAAGTCTCACAATATTCCGTGCTTACCTGAGGATGGAATTTCCTAGCCAAAAATGCTAGTTGTGACATCTGTGATCATTCCAGAAGTTATTTTCGCACTGGGTTTTGGTGTGGTGCCATCGAGGTATCCATAGAGTTGGACACCTCATAGTATGGGTATGATTTGGGCCTTCCATAGCAGGAAATTGGTTCGAGTAAGCTTGCAGGAGATAGCAGTGGCAGTTTTAGAGGAGTTAATGGCAGACATGGTGTTGGCGATTCTGAGATAAAGTGTCAGAATCCGGAAGAAGATAAAGATAAGACGGATCCCTAGGAGTGGCTCTAATACCAAGTGAAAATGAGTTAACTGTCGTGAATTCCCAATAGGGTTTTGTATTCATTATATACATACATATTACATATAAGAGATAAACACTATCATATAAACATGGATCATCCTATCTCTATCTCTTATCTATATGTTTACTGTTATATTGATTTACAATGAGAGTAGATTGAGATGTCAGTTCTGAAAACTTTGACAGATCTTCATCATCTTCATCACATGTTTCACCTTGACCTTCTTCATCATTAACTTTTTCTTTAGTGATGAAGTCAAGGGAGGTTATTATCCGTTCAACCCAACAAACCAACAAGAAAGATAGTGGTTGCTAATTATCCTTAAAGATAGTGATATAATTATATCATCTTTTTATTGATATATTTCGTTTGTGTTTCCATGTTGTAGTTCTAACAAAAGATTATTCCCATGAGGAAAGTCGGTGTTCTTTCATTTTTATGGGTTTTTCAAAGACTATTTTGAGATTTGATTTATTCTTTTGAGTAGTTAGTAATTTTTAGTAACATATAACTTAATATATATTTTTTAATATTTTTGGATTAGAGTTATTAGTTTTAGACAAGAAGATAATCAGTATTTTGAGATTTGATTTAATTTATTTGTTTTATACTAGGACCTTGGCTTGAGTTTTGTCATGGATTCGCCTATGGCAGCAAGCGAACTTCTTCAAGCGATCAACATCTGACATACGATGCATAGTCGTAACACTTGGTTGATAAACATGAATCAACTACAAAATGAAAGGGCATTTCAACAATACAACTAAATTATATTTTGTTGGACCAATTTAAGATAGGATTTCAGCTGATCGTTTGTTAATACAATTATAAAGAGAAAATGATAATTTGCTATCCACAACATTTATTATATAGCTAGCAACAATGTGTATGTGCTCAAAAGAGAATCAGGCAACACTATTGCCTTAGGCTAACCTTAATTCTCTCTAGACTAATGAAAATCTATCAGGGAAGGACTTCAACTATACATTAAAAAGATGTGTTATTTGGTTGCTCTTGCCAATCAACGACAAAGCCGTTGCTGCAATATGCTTTGGGGTGAGACCGACCTCTTCAAGCTGGTGAGTTTGTGCCCCATGTTCAATATATCTATCGGGTAACATCATTGCCCTCCACTACAACAAGTTGAAGATAATGCAAACCAAGATAAGTACAACTCTTTTTTGTTATGTAATAAAAAGTCGGAGGTCATCATTAGCGAATTAACAACAATTACCTTGAGATTTCCATCGAATAATCCATTCATGGCCAAGAAATGAGAAACATGAGAACTGAATCCTCCTATAGCTCCTTCTTCAATAGTTATTATGACCTCATGTTCTCTTGCTAATTTCTTGATCAAATTTCCATCGAGTGGCTTGCAAAATCGAGCATCTGCCACAGTCACTGAGATACCAATCTCTTGAAGTAGTTCTCTTGCTTCTAAACAACTTTGTACTATGGTTCCATATCCCAATAACGCCACTCTACTTCCTTCCTTAAGAACTCTTCCCCTACCAACCTATTTTCAAATTTACGAGTCAATATATTAGTATTAGCTAATTATGGTGATCATATATAAGGCAAAAAGTTATCTCATTACTCAAACTGAAGTACCTCAATAGGGGTTCCTTTGTTATTAAGTGGGAGAAATGAACCTATTCCATTGCCTCTCGGGTACCTAAAGCAACTTGGACTATCATCAATGGCAGCAGCTGTGGCAACCATGTGCATGAGCTCAGACTCACACGAAGGAGCCATCACCACCATGTTTGGTAAACAAGCCATGAAAGTTGTATCGAATGAACCACAATGAGTTGGACCATCTGCTCCAACCAAACCCGCCCTATCAATAGCAAATCTCACTGGAAGCTTCTGAAGATCCACATCATGAACTACCTGCACGATATAAACATTGTTACAACGAAGATTCATAAAAAAATAAACCACCCTTATTAAGAAAATGCCAAAGATATCGATCTTACTTGATCATAACCTCTTTGTAAGAAAGATGAATAAATGGCACAAAATGGTTTGAGGCCTTCGGTTGCTAAACCTGCAGCGAAGGTAACAGCATGCTGCTCAGCGATACCAACATCAAAACACCTCATGGGAAACTGTTTTTTGAATGTGTTAAGCCCCGTGCCTCCTCCCATAGCCGCATGAATAGCTATTATTTTATCATCTCTTTCTGCTTCAGCCACCAATGAGTCCGCAAAATATTGTGTATATGAGAGCGTTTTAACCTTATTTTTCACTTGTTTTCCCGTTTGGGTATCAAATTTCACAACACCTATAACAAAAATTACATTAGCAATTGTTCACTTTTCATATTTTAGTTTTGTTATAAAACACAAATACATACATACCATGCATTTTGTCAGACGCAATTTCAGCGGGATAGTAGCCTTTGCCTTTTTCAGTGACAATATGGATGAGAACAGGTCCTGGATCTTGTATGGACTTAATCTTGTTGAAAACATAGACAAGATCTTCAAGATTGTGTCCATCTACTGGACCAACATAGTTGAGCCCAAGATCTTCAAACATGGAAGCTCCTTCACCACCCACTATTCCTTTCATACAAGAATCCATTTTTGCGGCAATTTCATGTGTTCTATCCCCCAGTTTTGTCGTTACTCCCTGTTTATCACAATACCATGCATTTAAGTTTTAGTCTTCTAACATTCTAGTCGAAGTCTAGTTTGCATATATTGGATGAATGCATGTAAGATATTTGACATGTATAAACAAGAAGAAAGATACAAAGAGCTTGCACCTTTGCAACTTCACGAAGTTGGTGAAACTTCCGGCTAGTTTGCAGCTTTGTGAGGCACCGACTGAGAGCCCCAACAGGGGCTGCCGAACCATTAAGAGTAGCGGTGGGGAGGGAGACTTGGCGGTTGTCATTCAAGACAATAATGAGATTGGAATTCGTGTAGCCAACATTGTTCATTGCTTCGTATGCTTGTCCTGCAGTCATGGCTCCATCGCCGATCACTGCAATTACATGGTTGTTTTTGCCCAGCAAATCTCTACCAACAGCCATTCCTGTTTTATAATTAATTTAATTTAATTATTGATGTCTTAATTATTTTGCAAACTGATGATGACTTGTTAAAAAGTTAGTACTTTTTGTTTGAAAAATTGTAAATAGTTTCAATTTAATTATTTAAGGACTCATTTTCAAATCCGCACACTAGTACAAAACTCATTTAATAGTGCGATCACATTTTCTTTTTTGGTGCGGTTCAGTTACAAAACCGCATCATTAAATAAGTTTCGCATCAATAAACAAAAGAACCGCACCATTTAATGTATTTGTTGGTGCGGTTTTCATATACCGCATTAAAAGAAATTAAAAACGCATTTCTTGATGCTATTGACCAAAACTGCACTATTAAAAGACAATTTTTTGGTGCGAATTTTTGTAAAACGCACCATTAAATCACTATTTTTTTAAAACTACACCAATTAAACGAAGGAAACCGCACCAAAAAATTGGGTAAATTTTCATTCCGGCTACCAAGAAATTGGGTATTCCCTCTCAAAATTTCGTTCTAATTTTTCATTCCCGCTTACTAGGTCTCTTATATCTCTCACCCAAAAAAACCCTTCACAATTCACAGTGTTCGTCCCAAAAAATACTCTCACGTCGTCTTCTTCCTTCTCCTTCACTCTATGCAACAGGTAAATCATAAACCCTCCTAATTTCGTTCATTGATTCCTCCGCTCTCACAGTCTTCCATGAATGTAAATGGAACCTGAGTATTTATTGCAGGTACATTTATCCTAATTCATGAATTTGTTGCAGGTACGTTTATCAAAATTACCGACCTTAATCTATGCTGCAACAGAAGGCTTAGATGTTGTAGAAAGCCTGGGTCTCTTATTTTTTTTATCTGTAATTATTTCTTGTTTTCTTTGCAGTGTCAATGGAGTAACCAATATCTTTGGTTCTTTTACTAACCTCCTTTCATGTACTCATAACATGTAAAACACCATCCTTTTACTTTTTTCTGCTCATCCAAAGGAAAAAAGTAACAGAAGGAAGAACTTACCAGGTTTGTTTTGTTTCTGAATGTTCTTCTCTATGTATCGACATACTTCCTAACATAATCTTCCTTTGAGAGATTGAAAATTTTTATGAATTTTTGATGCCCTTTTTGGATCTCTCATTCTAGGTTTTCAACATCGGTTAATCCGAGAAGATCATTGTCACCCTTCTTGACAATAAAAAGATTCAAAACAGGAAGATCTAGAAATTTACATCACATATTATATGTTTGAATGTGTTTTGGTTACAGCAAAAACTGTGAAATCTATCTGGAAAGGTTTTTTGGTGCGATTTTGGCTAACTATTTTTTAGTGCTGTTTTGTGCTATCTTTTGGGGTGGTTTTGTGTTCTTCCAAGACAGGTTTGTTGGTGCGGTTTTGTCTATTTTTTGGGGCGGTTTTAGAATCGCACCATTAAATAAAAGCATTTTTTGATGCGATTCAATAACCGCACTAATTAATCATTTTAACCGCATCAACAAATGCTTTCTGTACTAGTGTCATACAACTAATTAATGGTAAATACGACATTTTAAAAAGATTCATTAATTAGTTTTCTGCATATTGATTATGTTATTTTTTATTTTGTAACATTTGGTTTTAAATAAAGATATTTTATTGAACTATAACAAGTTCAACATTGTATTTCTTTCTTCTAAGTTTGAAAAGTAATAAATATGATGATAAAAAGATTGGAGCTTTCAGTTTACCATTCTAATTCAAAATCAGAGATTAATTTCTTAAGATTATAACGTAACAAATCTCATAATTCAAATAAGTTGAATTATTTTTTGTTCAAAACTATGAAAAATTTACCGGATATATTATAATTAATACTAGACTCACAATTACGAACATTAAAAGTTTTCAAAAAAAAATATGATTGAAATTCAATAAACAAAAACTTATGATAAATAAAAAATACAAGAAGCTCTTCGCTTCGCAAAGTGTTTTTTTTTTTAAAATTAATGTTAGACTGAGAGGAGTGATATAGAGCTCATCGACCTCCACCTCCGCTCCATCAAGAAGAATGAAAGGCTGGAAGAAGAGAGGCCCTCAACTTGGCACCTAGACCTCTCCCTGTTGCCTTATAAATTAATAACCAATTAATTTTTTCCACAAAACTCAAAATAAATCTAATACTGATTTAAACGTGTTATTTTGCATTAGGTACAAATTTTTTGTGCCACGATTAAAACACTGCTTATATTTTTGTTTTTGTTTTTTTTTTTTTTTTTCTAAATACTGATTTATGATACCAAAGGGTTAGATGTTTCCCTTTCTTTGTTCCCTTTCCTTTCTAAGATCGAATGTATGACATATATGAAATTAAAAGTAGTTTACATATGCGTTTCAAAAAAAAATTGAATATTACCTAAACCAGCAGAAATGCTAGTAGAGCTATGGCCAACACCAAAAGCATCATGCGAACTCTCGTCTCTCTTAGGGAAGCCTGCAAGTCCACACGTTTGTCTGATAGAATCCATTTTCGATCTCCTTCCTGTCAATATTTTATGTGGATACGACTATATATGGAAATAATAAAAATGAGTATCGCTTTTTTATTCAAGAAAATAATATTGTAATGTAAATATTGCGAGTAAATCTTGTGATTCATTACCTGATGACCAACATCCCAAATGATCTTGTCGTCAGGGGTGTCAAAAACATAATGGAGGGAGATAGTTAATTCAACGACACCCAAATTTGAACTCAGGTGACCACCTGTTTTGGACACTGTATATACAATCTCTTCCCGTAGTTCATCAGCTAGATATTCAAGCTCCTGTAATGGCATATTATTAACCAAAAATATCACATAGTTTTTTATTTTTTTTATAACTTTTACTTTGATTACAATTTGTGTCCTTCAGAATGATAAATGGGACCCTTTTTAGGATTGCAATCTTCACGTCGTAGAAAAAAAACGTGGTTTATGAGTATATATAGGAATCAAATTGAGTTTGACTTTGATTTTAAGGCAATAATTGAATTTCCTTCCAAGATATTTTCATATTTGACAAAAAACAATCTCTAATAAATCCTTTTATTTTATCATATATTCAATTAAGCCCTAATAAACACGTCATTAATCGGTCATGGATAGAATATGAAGGCTTTTTATATTTATGATCCAAATTCAAAAGTTTTTTTTTTTAATTACTTAATTTTAATATTATCATATTATCTCAATATATATTTTTTGTTTGACAGTTAATTTAATCTTTATGGTATTATTTTGTCGGACAGAAAATATACATTTCAAAAATAGTTGTTTTTTGAAACTTTTTGATTGAGGTTTTTTCTTCTTCTAAAAATAACAGTTTTTTATATTTTTTGACAAAATATATGTTTGTTTCACAAATGTTTTTCTATGAGACGAAAGTTATATTATATATCTTGATAATTTCATGAATGTGTGCAAACGGAAGGGTGGCCAAAAACTTCGTGTATCTATTTAGTATTTTTGTTAAACAGGTTTCATAATATCCCTTACATGTGTGCACTAACGCACCAGCATTATGACAAAAATACAACCTGAAAAAACATTATGAAATTTACCTCGACATTAAGATTCTTAATATGGATCGGGTAATTAATAGTATCCAAAATCGGAGTGTTTGGTTTCTCCCCAGAGTACTTGAGAGTTGTTCCCATACTCCCATTCGTTGTTCTCATCTCTTCATGTTCATTTGGCTTGAACTTCGCTACTGCTACAATTCCCATAAACTAGTAAAACAGGAAACAGTAAGATCATATTATATATGTATGTACACAGTACACACAATGACACAGATACGGGTACTTGTATATGTGTATGTGTATTAACAACTCCAAACAAGAGATGAACAAAAAAAATGTAGAACCTTTCTCTTTTTCAGCTTCATGATTGCGTCGGATGATGGATTAAGCAAACTACAAGAAGTGTAAAGATCTTGAGTTATATCTATCGAATGAAATGCACCCTTCAAAGCACCATAAGAAGCCATGAGAGAGAGAGAGAGAGAGAGAGAGAGAGAGAGAGAGAGAGAGAGAGAGAGAGAGAGAGAGAGAGAGAGAGAGAGAGAGAGAGAGAGAGAGAGAGAGAGTTGTTTGATTTGATTTTCTGAGGGTTTTAGAGCTTTCTTATAGGCCAATAGCAAGTGTATGGGTCCCATGCAGAGCTTACAATTTGGTCGCCGAAATGAATAATCGAAATTTGTTTGATTTGATTTTCTGAGGGTTTTAGAGCTTTCTTACAGGCCAATAGCAGGAGTATGGGCCCCATGCAGAATGACAATTTGGTCGCCGAAATTAATAATCGAGGCTGCTGAATTTTAGTGGAAAAATCTAGAGTGTGTTGAAACTTGCACTAGCCCATATTGGGGGACCGGTTTTAAATCGGTTTTATAACGTTCCGATCATTTTAGGATCGGTCATGGAAACGGTTTTCTTTAGACCGACTTCGGATGATATTAGACCGGTCATTTCAGGTCTAGTTTTCTCGGTCTAATCTTTCCTTTCGTTTTGATTTCCGGGCTTTTTTGTTCGGTTTTAATGTTTTTCGGTTTTGAGTTTTCCCGTTAAGAAATATATAATTAACACAAAAATTGTTACACTTAAGTTTAATAAAGAAAAAGAAATAAATGAATTAGATAATTTGTGATTAAAAATTATATAATTAACACAAAAATTATATGTTTATAAACAAACTTTGTTTACCGGTCTTTTTTGAGAGCGGGCCTATGTAGGTTTCAGAATGGTCCGGTCTTTTTTAGGACCAATTTCAGAACGGTCCACCTTTTTTTCAGACCGATCTCGGATGGGTCTCGAGTAGGTCTTTTTTCTGGTCTCATTTTATATCAGTTCGATCTTTGTCTTTTTTTGGCCCCCACCCCGGTCTTTTTGTGCGGCTCTACTAGTCGTTAAGAGAAATGAGTCAAGTAATTGCTTCCAAATTAATTGTTCATTGGGGGCTAAGAGAGTATTTTTAACAAGGTTCTAAAAAGTTCGACATCCCTCCAATGTTTATACTTACCGCCGAGCTTTGATAAAATGTCATCTTAAGTTATATATATATATATATATATATATATATATATATATATATATATACACACACACGTACGTAAAAATGGATAATAATAGAAATATGTCTTAATGTTTTGAAAAAATATAAAGAAATAAATAAGTTGGTTTTTTATAAGCATTTTCTTATGTTAGGCCTTTAAAGACTTTAGTAGTGACAAGGGATGAGTCAAGCACATATGCACACCTAGTCGTATATACGAGTTCGTAAAATGGTGTGATTTCAGTACACTTTGCCAATGGTGGTCGTCATCATCATAGATCTGAATTTTTAAAGCCTCCTAAGGATTTCACGACTTTAAGAGTCGTATAACACAAATAAATATCGTCATCTTCTTTGATATAGTGATTTTTGCAACTGCAAAATCTTAGTTCTTCAATTCTCCTATTGAAAAACTTAAAAACCCAAATTTTGGTGACGGAATGCCGACAAAAAGCGGCGGGTAGTGTGGGCGTCGGAAATCCGTAGGTGATTATCGACGGATAATTAACAAAATAATAAACTTTTATTTTATTTTAAGTATGAAAAAACATCATTTTAGTCCTTCTAGTTTAACCTTGACACTTTAATGTCAATTATATACATTGATTTATTATTATTATTATTATTATTTTTATATTTTTCTTTATTAACATTTACCTTTATATTTATTAACACCCGTCCATTACTAGGATTAATGTCTTATACCATGATATGATTTAAAAAGTTTCTAAGCAATAATCTATTATGATCCAAAACTAACATAAAAATATTACAATATAAATATTTGACAAACACAAATTTCAACCATTTAATTCATTTATATTGCATTTGGTTTCAAAGTTCAAGAAATGTATGCAAAAAGGGCCTTAATGGCATTATGGTAATTTGAGGCTTCGCAGTACGTCGTGCGTACGTGGTGTACGCTGAGCGTAATAGGGCGCGCTCCAGTACGTTGGGCGTATATCATTGTACGTTGGGCGTACTCGCTAAAAGAGGAAACCCTAATTTTTAGGGTTTGGCTAGTATTTAAGCATCCTTATGGCCTCGTTTCCCTTCACCATATCAGCCTCCACCCTCTCATTCATGTTTGAAGCCCTAGTTCTCCTTGAGAAGCCATTTCTAGCCTAAAAGTGTGTGTTTGTGTGCTTAGGAGAATAAAGGAAGGAAGTCAAGCTCATCTTTGGAGAGAGAAATACTTTGGATCTGGGACTTACTCTTCATTTGCAACCCTTCAAAGGTATAAAGCTTGTAACTTGATCTTTCAATCATGTAGATCTAGAAATTGGTGTTTTATTGATACTTTTTGGTCCCAAATGTCTTATCTTGAGCATGACATGTTCTTGACGCTTTGAATTGTCCTTTCGGACCTTCGGAGGGGTCCTAAGTCATAAAAATGAAGTCCTAATGGTTAGTTTTGCTCCATGCATCTTGTAGAAGGTCTTAATGGATTAATACCTTGAGTTAAGCACTTAATGGGCATGTAAAGTCATAAAGTTGGAAACTTTATGATTCTAGAGTGTATTTTAGCCTTGGATCTGAAATATGGACGTAAGAGCTTAAGCCATTAAAAACTTATTGAGTTTTGAAGGATGCAAGGGTACGCCCTGCGTACTCGGAGTACGCCCTGCGTACAAGGTCAACCACCCTGATGGTGGTCAACTGCGAGGATTCGGAGTACGCTCAGCGTACCTTCGGAGTACGCCCCGCGTACTCGCACTCGGTCAATCCGGTTGAGTTGACTCGGTTGGGTTGACTCGGCTGGGTTGACTTAGTTGACTGAGTAGGTTTGACCAGTTGACTTTGACTTTGACCAAGTTTGGCCTTGAGGGTATTTTAGGTATTTTAGGATTTTGATGGAAATTGGTCATTGGTGGGATTAGGTGTCGGTTAGAGAGCTGAGATTCGGAGTCGGGACCTCATCAGCTTCTGTTCAGTTTGTGAGGTGAGTTTTCCTCACTGTACTTGCGGGTCGAAGGCACCAACGCCGACCCTTTGGATTTGATATCCTATTATGTATGTTATAGTGTTGTAGTGATCGTTAGATCGGTATCCTGATATATAGCATGTTGATATGCGTAGTGATCGGTTGATCTGTCTCTTGTCTGTTGGCTGATTATATGTTTCTCTGTTATGTATATGTGCACATATTTGGTTGGTGGTTGAGGCTTTACTACTCTGTGCATACGCCAAAAGACCAGGGGTATTCCAACCCGATGGTTGAGTGGGCCCGAGGGTATTCCATCCCGAGGATGACAGGACCCGTTGTGTATTGGCATTCTGACGAGATGGTAAAGGGGCCTGGGGTATTCCAACTTGATGGTTGACTGGACCCATAATGTATTGGCATTCCAACCCGATGGTTGAAGGGTCAGGGGTATTCCAAGCCGATGGTTGATCAGACCCGACATGTTGTTATTGTATATGTCATTTGCTTGTGTATTAGTACTTTGGGGGATCTTACTAAGCCTTGGCTTACAGTTTTGGGTTATGTTTCAGGTACTTCAGACAACCGCGAGAAGGCGAAGGCATGACCGCAAACATCCTGATGTTTTAACTTATGATTTTGGGAAACTCTGATGTTGAAATGTTTTAAAAACTATGTTTGTAAACAATTTATGAATTGGGATGGTTTTAAAAAGTTTAAATTTATCATGATTTTTATGGATGTTACAAGTTGGTATCAGAGCCTTGGTTTGAGTGAAGTAGAGGAACACTAGTGCGAATCCAGTCTCAAACTAAGGGAAAAAGATTTTTTTTAAAGATTTTCAAATTGTTTTCAAAATAATCAAAGAGGATGCGATGTATGCGATCAGTCGGAGCCTGTAAGTAGACCCAAAACTACCACACTGTTATTTGATCTTATGATATATTAGAAAAACATGCTAGTGATAGGCTAGGGATCTTCAGGAATTGCATGATAGAATTGTTTGATTATATGATGCCTAATAGCCTAGGTTTTTTCCTTATATAAAACTGACATCATTGATGTAGTTGCTTAGTGTATGCATCATAGTTATACATAACTAAGATTCTATAGCCTAGAATTTTTGGTTTCGCCTTATTTCATGTTCGTCTTTGATGAAGGGATTAGTGTAGGATCAGATATTCGACTGTCTATAGGGTCCAGTGTTATGTATGATTAGCATACACAAGTGTTGCAGGGTTGGTGGAAGTTTCATGGATGAGTTGTGTGGGGTCAGCTGGCCAGTTTCGTGATGTTTAGCCTTCATCTAGGGAGTGAGGATTGAGTGTATATGTATACGAGTGTGTATTGTTAGGGTTGTTGTGATGATCCTCTGAGACAAATACAGGTAAGTGTGGAAGGTAGTATGGGCCCGTACTACTAAAATCACAGGACCCGTACGTGTAACAGGGAAGTCACAACCCCCAGGTTTATTTTTCAATATGGGAGTTGGTTCCCCTAATATGATATGTGTGTTATCTGATATCCCCCAGGTTTATTTTTCAATATGGTGATGACGAGACGATTTTAGGAAGGATCCGGATCAGGATCGGGAGCTGGCACCCAGGATGGGCCAGTTGTGTCCGAGGACAGGACAATGGAGATCCTTCAGGAGGAGGTTGTTGCTCACTTTCGAGCACAATTACCAAAGATGTTCGGGTCTATTAAGATCGCCATGGTGGAGTATTTTGATGAGCGTTATGATGCGTTGTCTGAGGCTGCTGCTCATGCAGCCACCGCAACCGTTGCCGCTGCTGGGTTGGTGCTGGGAGAGTTTTCCAGTATCGGGACTTTGACACTAAGAAGCCCCCGACTTTCGACAGAGTTTAGGATCCGATCATAGCCATGAGGTGGTTGTCTGACATTGAGAGTTGTTTCTTCAATTGCTCTTGCCCAGCTGACCAGAAGGTCAAGTGCACTCTGAACCTTCTGAGGTCCGGAGCGAAGGATTGGTGGAGACTTGTTACTAGCTCGTA